CCTGCATGTCCCCTGTCGTATCAATATACAGTATGACGCAGGCACTTACTTTTGTGCAAGGGTATTGTGAGAGCAGCAGCAGTACCAAAACTATTGGTAGTCTTAACACAACACTGACAATAGCGCGTATATCCGTTTCAGTAAACGCTCTGCGTCGTACAGTATGGTGTCGCTGTGAGGCGGTTGAACCTGATTTTTTAAATGGAGGAGGGTCGTCTCCGCACGCAGGCCGTTAGTCTGTCTTGTTGCTCGGTTAGCAAGCCAGGTTTGTGTTAACTCCGGTTTACAGAGAGGAACAAACTGCGCTCGTTAAATTTAAATGTGTTTACACTTTCCGATGAATTATTAATTTCGCAGCTGTCCAGCTGTCTCGGTTTAAACCGGCGGATGTCATATCAGCTTTGAAAGCGTACGACATTATTGTAGTCAGGACTGTACCCTATATATTTTTTTCAGTATATATACTGTATATACGTTTATTTTGTGATAATACAAAATGTGTGCGCTGGTAAGACAAAATTGATCCTTCTGTTATTTTAAAGTTAGAGGTGTTTGGGACTGGAAACGTTTTATAGTATTGACGTATGCATTTGTGATATATTCCGATGCCCTAAAAGTTATTGTATATACATAATTATCCAGTTAGGTGTAGATTTTTATGTTTCTAAATGATGGGTGCTTAATCACTGTGTTGTGACATTAACTGTGTTGTGGTGACATTACACCGCGCTAGAAGATTGAATTTCTTTTGGCGGGACAGGGTGTAGTCTGGTGTTTGAAAACCTCTTTGTCTTTATTAGGTAGCTGGAGAAATTAGCATTTCATCTGGCCTTTGTTGGGAGGTGGGGGAGCACTCCACTCCCTCATCTTGTATGGACTGCATGCCTAAGGGGTATGGAACCAAGACACTACACTTTTTTCTTTGTAGTTTCTGCATTCCTTCTTGGGGCTTGGTTTTATACTGAGCAAAGTTACTGAGACCCAAGATTTTGAATTCCGGAGAAGATTTTGCTTCTTAAGAGTGCCCTTAGCCATTTACTAATATTCTTAGTATATGAATTATAATGCACGTTGAAAATACTGCATTTAAGAGGTTAGATTCAGAGGTACAAAAGTGGTTAAAATAAACATTTTCTTCCTAAATGAAAAAAAAAATCCTGGTTACACCCTGGATTGTGTCATTGACCCATCACACTAAGACCTCGTGATCAACCTCCTCTGTAGATGCATTTAAAGGCCACAGGGTCTATCCACAATGTGCTGCCTCTGAATCACAGCCACTATAAATACAAAGCCACATTCTGATACTGCATGTTAAGGAAACTGAAGCATACCATTTAGATTTTTTTATTCTTCTTTGTATTTTTACATTGCAGGAGTAATACAGAATGAGCAGCTAGAGATGCCATTTTGGGAATAAATACAGTATTGATTTACTGTACAATCATCCAATGACAGATCATGCTCTAGATTATGAAAAATAACCTTAATTACTTTTTCCCCGCTTCTGATAATTAACAGTGTTCAACTATCAAAAAAAGTCTTCATAAGGCAGCATGAATGGTTGTGGTTGTCTAGAACATTCTACCCAACATTGCTTATTTCAAGAAATGGCTGGATAAGATCAAGCCAGATTAATTAGCTACTAAAAGTGAAACAAGCTAGGAGGGCAAAATTACTTCCTCTGCTTTGGTTTGCATTTTTTTATTCCAGAGTATGTAATGGATAATCATACCCACTGTTTAACCCGATGGGAGTTTCACTTCACAAGACCTCAACATCAGCAGAGGTTTAATATTCCATAAACTTTGAGATGTTAGTACATTCTTTAAATTTAATAATACACCTTTTAAGACTAACATCTGGCACTCCTATGAAAAACTGAAACTAACACTAATGATTATATCATTGTTGTGAAACCCAATATTATTTCAACCACTGACTGCGACAGGTGATAACAGGTTTTACAGCATGTGCTTAAACATATATATTTTTTCTTTTTTAGGGACTGAAGTTCAAAACCACACCTAGTATGAAAGGGAACTTGTCAGCCATTTTGGCTGTGTTTATTTATTCATGTTTATGTTTCAAATGCTTCACAATTTTTTTTTAAAAAAAAACAGGTTATACTGACAGTTAGGTGAACATCTGCTACATGAAATCCAAAATACTGTGCATGCTCCCCGATAAACATTTGTTAGAAAGGTTTTATTAAACTAAAGGTTACATAAGGTAAGATATGTATACTCCTAACTTTAATTTTGTAATTTTGTGTTTATAAAAACATCATCTCAGTTGAATCATTGCAAACATCTTTCTAAAACAAGCCTGATACGACCTTGTGATTCATATTTTTGTCTTCACAAAGTCACCTGTCTTTTCTAACAGTGGCTGCCTTTTAACATTCTCAGTATGCTTCCCTGACGGTAAACTGTACTGCATTTAAAAAGTCAAAACTAATCTGATTCTCATGGGATGAGCTTTTACCATTAAAATTAATGTGGATTGATTTGTGGAAGAAAATAGGGGGTGGTAATAAAGGGTCTAATGATCTAAAAATCATTAATAATTAACAAAAATAAAAATATTTTTGATATATTAAGATATGTTTTTGAGATGTATTGCTCAAAACTGCGAGTTTGCTCTTGTTTGAAGCAAAATGGGATTCCTTGATAAACAGCACAGTTGAAAAATGACAAGAATATCTTTTTTCTAAATATCTAGGATCCAAACCTCCCCAGTTTTCCTTTGATGAAAGACGTTTGACTTACTATCAAATATTAATCTGAACTGAGTGGTGAAGAAATTAAAAAAATATATTGTTTTGAATTGACAGCACTATAGCACAGTGGTTAGAATTATTGTCCTGTAGCACTGGGTTCAGTTCTTGATCAGGGGTTATATCTGCGTGACTTTTGTACTGTATGTTCTCCCTATCTGTGCCTGGATTTCATCTGATATATTGTGCTCTGGTTTCTTCCCACAGTCCAAAGACATACTGGTAGGTTAAATGGCTTCTGAGAAAACTGCCCCTGTTGAGAGTGTGTGGTGCCTGTTTGTGTCAGCCTGAGAAGGACTGGTGTCCTGCCCAGCATGTACCCTGCCTTGTGCCTGTTGCTTGCTGGGTTAGGCTCCAGCTGCCCTGAACTGGAACAAATTATTAGAAGATCAATGGATGGATTACTTTGAATTTCCATGGGTAAACCCAAACCACCATAGTGATTTTTTTTTTCTCGGTTTGGCGTGAGTTAAGTGTAATCTGAAATGCAATATATCACATAATATTGTATGTTTGTGGTGAATTACTGTACAGTGGTTATTATCCTGTATTTCAAGCTCTGGTCAAAACAATATATTTTAGAGTTACTTATACTGCAAAAAGAAAGTGATGAGAGTACTGTTAGGTATCACAAATAATGGAAACCAGCCATAATGAAAAGGTTTCAATCACTATGAAGAAATGTTCATACATAGGTATTTCTGCTGCATTATAGGGGTTTTAATAATGGATCTCCATGGAGTCTCTGGGAACGTTGAGTAAATACTAAATATACGTCTTTTTCTTTCCAGCTTTTCCTGCAAGTATTTGAAGACCTTATTGTGGCAGACAATGTTTTCTGTTTAATGTTCTTTTTTGCTTTATTACATTTTTATAATGTTTGGGCCTTATTCAAACATGTATGATTAAATATAATACACATTTAAAATAACAACTGAAACCCAATTAATCATAAAAAATGTTACTTAGCTTTTTAAAAATAATGATGTTACAACTTCATTAAGTTTAAAGCTTTCATTTGTGCATGAAGTGCACCTTGATTTTCACAATCTCTTACAAAACGTGCATACAGAAGGAAGACCTAAAATACAATGTCATGTGGCAGGGTATGTCTGGCAGTTTATGTTGGAAAGAAAGGCGTTTTTTGTATTTGAGAAACAAGAAACAAAAGGTCAACTCACTTGGTCTAATTTGAATTTCATGTTACATTAAAAATGAAATAAAAACTTGATGCGTTGTATTTTATGACAATTAGGAGAACTTCATGAGGAGAATAACATATAGGCAGAAAAATGTTTTTAAATCTAATCTATTTAGGTTTTTTTTTATTAAAACTGAATATCAAACGTCTATACCCAGAGGCTGTATGCCTTTCATTTGTCTGAGCTTTATGGCTTTATAGATATTAATTGAAAACAAAATTTGGCTTGTGCTACTGTACATGGAAGAATTACATTCTAATTATAATTGTTATTGCTTTACTGTGGCATATGTTTTTCATTTTTTCACTATGATAGTATACAGTGCTGCTACGTTGAAGCATGTTCAAAGCTTGAAGATGTATACAGTATATCTGTTAAATGCATATTAAAGTTGTGCTAAAACTGATGCCTAGTTTAAGTACTGCAACAATGCCTGCATCTCCGCTTGTCTGTGCTGACATGACTCTTATTTTGTCTTTTCCTCACCTTAATATTGACCTTTTATTTTGTTTTGTATAAAAGAACCACATAAAACAAGATGTTTAAGGTATTCCTTAAACATTCCTTTTGAAAATCTTGATGAAATATGTGCTTCACTTACAAAAGGGTAAATTGTTTTATTTCACTTTTAAAACACTAACAAAGTGAAATACACAAAACACCTGAAATAACCATATATTTTTAGATCCTGCAAAAAACCTGTCCTTTTTACAATGGAACACTAAAAGGGTAACTCATATTCCGTCATATACTTTACATCCGTAAAGTAAATATAGAATACGCTGCATTTGTATTGTGTTAATTATTCATTGTAATACTTTAGAGAATGCTCAATACCTGTATCATATTACTCTAAATGTTAATTAGCACCAAGTCAGTGAAAAACAGTTTTCTAGTTATGGACAACAATCTAGGTTTTTCCAATTCTGAATGGGGCAGGCTCTAGGATCTCGAGGGTCTGCCACCAGGAAGAGAAGCTGAATAGTGCTATTCAGTGTACTGTGTGCAGAATGAAATCAGTATACATATGCTCTCTTCATGTGTACAGGCTCTGCAAGTAAGCCAAGAGCGCCTTCAGAAAACTTTGTTTCACCAGTTTTGAGAAAAGGTAAATAATTTCTTCTTTTTTATTAATGAACTTATTTCTTTGCAATTTTGACAGGCTTCATATCATTCACAACAATAGACATTTTAAGGGTGTGAAACAACATCTTACTCTTGCTACTAAAGTAAAAAAGATGGGTAGGAATAATATGTCAGGCTCATGTTGCCTGGCCTTAGGACAGCATTTTGAATCTGTATTTCTTTAGAACCTGAGAGGAAGTAAACATGGATGGGTGTGTTTACTTCCATCCTAGGTGTCCAAGGGTAGCTTCAGAGGATTGCTTCATACTAACTGTATGTGATGATGAAATGGCTTCTGAAATGGCAGGAAAGCAAGAAACATTTTGTATTTTTTTTGTAATATCTCTTGGTTTGACAATTGCAAAATGTTGCTTGATGTATTTCCTTTATGTATTTATTGCAGAAATGATCCTGTCCTCTAACAACTGCTCTTTATATATGACCTAGCACATGAAGTATCATGACCAAGTGATTAAAAACATCTGTTCAGCACTGCATTAGGTTCTATATTTAGGTTGTATGTTGTTGGTATTAAGTAGTATAATTTGTATAGGTTCCTTTATAATGCAGTAATTCTAATAGATTTATTGATTGAATAACTACGTTAGTTGTCCATGTTTCTGATGAGCCACCAATAAATCAATTTTTTAAATGTTCAGTTATATTAACAAAAAATGTTGTATTTGTGAACAACTCTATAAAAGAATGCCAAAGGGACTACTTCAGAGAATGTTTTATTGCCATCTGGCTGGTAGTACAATATTAACATTGGTAGGTCCAGCCTGTTAATGAATAACTTCAACAGACATTTACATTTCGTTCTCTAACAGAAAGTGGTGAAGATTTGAAACTGACCAAGCAAACTATGATTTTCTTAATGTAAGGGAAGAATGTCAATATGAGGAGTGTTATCCTGATATAAATTTTGTCTTCATATCTTAAAATACACACAAACAGGTAGTGTCCCTTTCAGTGACTTCAGCATTCTTATTTCAGTCATTGAGCAATGCAGATTTAGGTTTATTCATTAAAGTATATTTTATTAAACCTGGAACTTTCTGTTATGTTAGTTTACCGAGGATCAGCTTGTTGATAGCAATATTTAGGGGTTCCAAAATGGTATAAAATCTAAGAAATTAGTTCTGTTTTCCAATGAGTGAAACTGGAAGAGAAAATCTGGCACTTTAGAGGCCATTTAATCATTGTACACTATTACAAATGAGATTAGAAAGAGATCAGTTTGTTCATACAAGCATTTGAGAAAATGTACAACTGGAAGTGCTTTATGCATTATTATAAGTGCTTCCTTAATTGAATAAAGAAGTAAATGAAAGACATCCATGAGGAGAGTTTTTTTTCTTCCTTGATGTTGTCAGTGGGTTTGTTTTCTCCTTCGATAGTTTCATGAATGTGTTACCTAAGTATATAGACTGTATTTCACAGCCTCAGAGGATTCTCAGTTTGTGTGATGAATTTCAAAACTGCTGTTTTACCTAGAGAATCCTTCATTGGATGGATGGAAGTACTTAAACCAATGAAGGGATGATAGAGTCTTTGGCTTAAATTTGGCTTTTGAAGTATGTAATTAAATATTTATAGAATTAAATTAATCTTTTTAAATGGTCTTAGCTACTTTATGTAGTAAAGTGGGAGGGTTTCAATGTCACAGAGTAAAAGATTATGAGAACCTTTTGATCTCTGCCTTGTAATACATACTTTTTGACTACAGCTGTCTTTAAAGTACTTTGTTAAAATAAGAACTTACATGTGGTTACTTCGTTTAACCAGTTTTTAGGTGACAATTCATTTATTTCCATTAAGAATTAGTTAATTTGTACCGTCACAAATAGGACCATATAAAGAGGGAATCAGGGAAATCATTGTAGTATTTTTCGTTATCTAGACGATGTGAAAAGATATCCTGAAATCTACATAAAAATAAAACTTGAGTTTGATTTATAGTGTTTTTTGTCAATTTGCACAATGCTCTTTTACACGCAAATACTGTATATGCCTCTATATTCTGGCATTTCGAAAAGCGGTGTTTCAATATATATTGTCTTTTCATTTCTGGCAATGGGTCTTTTGAATTAATACTGGGAAATAAAATTAAGATTAAAATCAGGAAATGCGTTTAATCCGTTGTTTCCCAGAAATAAAAATGGTGACATAAATGTATGGGTGTATCCTCGTTTGTAAGAGGGGGAATTCACTGTTTGAGAACATTATTAGCATTAGGACCCGGAGATTTACACCCTCTACCTGTTGGCAGGTGGTGATTAAAGGAGCTATGCCCATAATTGGAGCCCGGAGACGTTAAGGAAGGGATGGGCGAGGTCACCTGTACACGTCACTGCATGTTCGAAACTACCTAGGACCGAGAGTTTCGCAGTTGCAGCCTCTGTTTTGAAGGAAGCACACCTTTCCACAAGGTTGAAAGACTCTTAAGGATTTATAATCAACAGATTTGGGCTGCAAATAAGGGATTCTATACAACCTTTCAAACTGATGGGGAGTGTCAGGAGTTTACAGCTGGGAGTAATCCTTCTCTTGGTCCAGGTAAGTCTTCGTGTTTGATTGAAAACGACCAGATCCACAAAGAAATCTCGTTTGACCCAGTATAACAGTTCTTACAGCACGTAGGTTTTAAAGCATCCGATATTGTAGTTTGTATTTATGCGTTTTAGACCAATTGAAAATCCTTTCAATGTGTTCATATAACGTAGATCAGTCGACATAAAAAAATTATGAAGCCTGTAATAACTTCCTGCTGATTGCTCTGTTTTAACGCTACCTTTTAAAGCAATCCTAGAAGAGAATCTATTAATAAAAACGTTTCACCAAAAAGCCTTCAGAAAAAATATTTTGAAAGTTCTTAAAATACGGCATTACCTTTTCAGAATATTACACTGAAACTTGTACGTTCCCATTTCCTGTTTCAAATGATTTAAAGAACTGGTGAACCGGACTCCATGTTATATACCTGTGGATCCTCTCAGACAATCTATTTATTTTTAGTGTTTTTGTAGTATTTTTGATAATTGCCAATGTGAATTTGGTTCTTAAATAAGTGTAACGGATCCCACAGTCGCCCGAAAACAGAGGCTTCTTGAGCTTGACCAAAGCGTCTAAACCCTTTCCAAAAATGGTCTAGTTTTCTTCCTTTTAATAAAACTATACCTTATTATATAGTAGTGTCGTTTACACTAACATGAGATATTTATATGGGATAGATATATATAATATCATATCATTATATTAGTCTCCCTGTAACTATTTTCCTACTATTTCTTGCTTACAAGTCATAACTGTATTTCGCAAGTTCGCATCCAGGTATTACAAATGTCCGCTTGAGTGTCTTCGGTTTTTGTTGTTATAGGTTTTGGCTTCAGGATCTTGTGACGAGCCTGTGCCATGCCAGCCTGGCTTCAGTTCCGACAGCTTTGTCTTCAAAGTAAATCGGGAACATTTGCCGAGGGGCCGGATATTGGGGAGAGGTAAGCAATTATATACGTGTATGATTTGGTACACATAACTATCTGCTATATATTTTATATGAAGCTTTGTTTTTCAAGCATACAATTTTCTCGTTCGTTTACGCGACTTCTCAATATCATTGTAAAACAATTTCGATGTTGTTTTCTATTGACTCGTGTTACCCGTTGTTATCCGTTTTAAATCTTTAGAACCTTCTTTAGACTTCCACGTTTTAGTGCGGGTGCTTTATAGAGACATGCTTACGTAGTGTTTTGAAAGAATTAAATTAAAAAAAAGTCCCCTTTGAATAGTAGTGACAGACAAGTAATTGTGAGAAGGTTCTCCTGATCCATGAGAGCCTTTTAGACATTTCTCAGCCAAGCAGACTAGGTTTACATTTGTCCTAAACAGAACGGTGTATTTTTTTCCAACAGAAATGTAGCTTTATATATATATATAGGGATGTACACTCCAACGTGGTTCCATCCTGATTGTTTCAAATCAAATTCAGTGTTGTACTGCATTCACAGTAAGCAACCCTTTAGATATCTGCATCTTAACAGCTTAGTTTGGTAGCAGTTTAGTTATCTTAATTTGTAAAATTCCAGCTGTTAAGATAAAGCCTTTCACCTGTTGGCAAACAAGAAGCCCTCCCCGTTTCTTGATTGTGTTTATAGTGCTTTGTGTTGTAGACTGGAAGGATTAGTGGCAACAGATCTTTCATTTGCCACTCCTAGATGGTAAAGAAACAGATTTGCTCTGTGCTGTTTTGACTTTTTAGTCAAGGTTTGTGTTATTTTTTAGACAAAGTAAAAGGTGAGTACTATAGCTAGTATAGAAGGATGCTATAGCAGGCACTGTAAGAGTTAAAATAACCTTTCTGCTGAACTATGATCTCATGAGCTGGATATACTGAACATTCCTGTTAGTTTCACTGGGCGTGTCAGAGCAAGATCACTCTTAATCAGCTTCAGTAGAGAAACAGGTTTGTCTCCTGTGTGCAAGCAAGAAGCCATACTACTTTTTCTTATTTTTTAAAAATGTTGGATAAATCAACTCCTTTGGGAAAAGTCCCTTTATGTAGACTTATCTGTAAACTCAGTAAAGTTTAAATATCTCAACTTGACATTTAACGTTGTTTGATGCCATAGTTGCAGTTTTTTAATTTATGCTGATTACCCCCTATTTGTGGTATTGGATTGTGTTGAATAGCTTAATTCTATGATGACCCTATTTATTTTAATTTTTTTGCTTTCACTTTTTCGGATGGGTTACATTCAACAACCTGATTATCTTTCTTAAATCTAGTATCAAGAAATAAAATGAACTTCAGTATCCAGTGTTGAATTGATTTAATCTTAGTAGTATCCTCAGTGTTTATTCCAAAAATACCTGATGGTTCCCTTTAGGTAATGCACATACTTGGCTTTATGGCTTTATGGGGTCTGTGCAGATCAGACCTTCGTACTTGGTAAATAAATAACTCCAAGAGGAAGTGTTGGACTCAATAGTGACAGTTTGGTTTCACATTTCAGACATCTTGTTGTGCCATTAATATAACTGATGTTTTTTTCATGTGATAATGCTAATATTTGTATAGAACATAAGTGGTTACAAAGGAGAAAAAAATCCTGTTTGGTTTTTAATAAGTAATTGGTTCAAAAGACTAAGCTTGAAAAAATGCAATCGAATAATCTGTTTTTGAGAAATACAGCAAGTTGATATAGACTTGAATTATTTTCCTTAAGTCTTAGACCTGCTTCTCTGACCTGTACACAAATTAAGCCATTGATCTTTTTGACGTTATTCCAGCATGATGGTGGCTTACTAGGGGAGAGGGGCATCATGGGTCATGAACACCAAATTTACAATACAAACATTAAAAGAAATACTGTTTGCATAAGTATTCAGACCTATAAACTCTATATTTGGTTGGTGCACCAATCATAATTATAGCTGCAAATGTTAAGCAAGTCTCCATCAACTTCATTGACATTGACTTCAGGACCTTTTTCTGTTCTTAAGCCACTCTGGTATAGCTTTAGCTGTGTGCTTTAGGTCATTGACCTGCTAAAAGGTACCAAAAAAGCTAGTTTTGTGGAGTGTTCTGGATATTGACTGCATGATCCCTCTTGGCCTCACAGTGGCACTTCTCACCAGTGTCCTCTCTGCTCTGCTGCTTACTTTGGTGGGATGGCCTGATCTAGGCAGAGTCTGGGTCCAATTTCTTGAATGAGTAGAATTACCTAAATTTTCATACCCTTCTGATCTGTGCTTTTTTTTATTATTTTAGAGAACAAAGCCATTTTACATATAAACCACCATTATTCAGCCTTACATCACAGGCAAAAAGTCCTGTTTGTTCCCCTAGTATTTAACAGTTATATAACTTTTTACTTATTTAACTTTTTCTGTGCTTTTCAACGACTTTATCCCTGATGTGCTTTGAATGAAATTTGCTTGAAATTCACTACCGGACCATTGTACTGTAGGCGTGTGGCCAGTACACTAATATTTTGCACCTAAATTTCGGTTTGCCACAGAAAAGGGTTTGAGTGCTTCCACAATTATGAACTTATTTTTTTCATGTGTATTTACTTTTTAATGTGTAAAGCAGGTTTAATAAAAATATTACAATTCAAAATAAAAGGAAACTTTAAAACAACATATTAAAACTGTAAGCATCTGATTTCTTATTCATGTCAGTGTAGTTTTAAATGATTTGCTAAAATATCCTTAATTTATTTTCATCCTGAGGATGGATGTTTGAAGCCTCCTATAATGAAAGTAGAAAGAGAAAATTTTAACTGTATTAAAACCCAATAGCTGCTTCTATAAAATTTTGGCATGGTCTCTTCGTACTTTTCAAATACCTCTGTTTTAGATGGTAAATTTTGGTTTTGAGGATGTTTCTGTGTATATGCAAGTAATATTCAATTACTCAAAACTGGATGACCATGTCTTAAGCTTCCTGTTGATGTGTGGCGCTGTAGACCTGTTGGGAGCACAGACATTGTGGGGTTGAGCTCCATTTTGCATAACCTAGGATTTAGATTCAAACCTAGGTTGAAATAGCCTAGGTTTTTCCCCCAATTTTTTTTTATATCTTTGTTGTTTGTGTCTCATAACATCAGTTAATCACTTAAAAAGCTATAAGGCAGCCTAGAGAGCTATACCCTTTTTTGTTCTTGAGGTGCGTGATCCTATTGCTTACCTACCAGTGAAACAAGACTCCTAGGTTGCCATCTAGTGCCAACAGTGAGCAATGTGTGCTATGCCTTCCTGTTGCAGAGCTCTGCCATCCAGTGTTTAGAAAACTGTAATCTAAGAGCTAGAGGGTAATTTGATCCTTTCTTGGGCAAGTATGCAAGATCTCCAGTCTATAAGATGACTACCCCAGGCGTAATATTGTAAAGTGTAGAAATATATGTACACTGTTCAACTGTTCCAAAATGTATTACAAGAATATATACTTCAGTTCTATAAAACAATGAATGTGCAGTTTCATAGCATAGAATTAACCCTTATCGGATTAGCTACATATCAAAGATTAAAATGTTTTGTGACTTCTATTTTGCCATTGCTTTTTAACCGTTTAGTGTATTACTAACAAATGGGCAAATGGCTTTTAATCAACAAAATTAGCTGGTAACCAAGGAATTGTTAAGCTTTGTTCACTTTTAACCGGAATAGTTCAGCAAACTAGAGAAAGGGAACTTTAATGATTTACTCTTTAACTGTTTTTTGTAAATATTACACAAGTGAATTTAACCAAAAGATTAATTATGGTTTTGGATGATATACCAAGGTAATCCTTTTGAATTTAACAGTTAAAATCAGACTATGTAGAAATGACACAGTCACTTCTCAAAATATTTTTGAGATGCTGTTTTCAGAATTCTTTTTTTCTTAACGGAAGGGGAAAAAAGATTTTAGCACTTTGGACTCTATTACCACCACACTAAAGCAGGAATATGCTACTGCTGATGTTTTGAATGTCTTGGACAGTGAGACTTTTGAAGAGAAAGAGTCATTGTTCCTTAAAGTATGATTCCATTTCAGATTAGTTCAACTTCCGAGTGCTTTCAAAAGCAATTTGCTGCTTTTATGTAATCCACGCAAGGGCCATTATTAATTCATTGTAACTTTTACCATAAGAGGTCGTAAACAGTTTTTATGAAAGTGAATGCCAGGAGGTAAAGAAAATGCAGTAATTTATTATAAAATCTGACTTCTCATGATTGAAGATTTGGTGAACACATTTTTGTGTAGCTTGTATTGTCTTAAGGATATACTTACCCAGATGTAGTGCATTTGTGAAGTATTAATGGCGTGTAGCTTGCATTCAATCCATTGAGTTGCCAGGAACTCAGACTGGCTTTGTAAAAAGCCTGGAATTGTTACCTGACCATCATATAATGAAGGTCTGAGCTAAAGCAGACAGCTAATGATTCTTAAGAGCTGTTCATTGTAACCAGCTTTGTCTTGCCTCACATTAAATTTTAATTTTTGAATGTCTTTATATGACAAAGGCAGCAGATTACTGAACGATGTTGCCATTTTGATGTAGAAAGTATAGTAAAAAATGGATAATGGGGATAATTTAAAGTGGGGTCCTATGCTTATTCATTAAATTAGAGAATAATTGTTGTTTCATTATTTCATGACATTCAAGCATGTATATGTTGGTGCAGTCCAAAAGAAGACCTCTACCTGAATACATCATTGAACATGCAATTATTAGTAAATAAAACTGGTCTTGTGGTTTTCTCAAAATTGTTATGTTGGTAAACTGTGTGGATTAGAGTGTAATCTGGTTATGTGGTTAACCCTCTGTTGTACATATAATGAAAATTGTGCAAAAACTCTCACTGAACCAAAAAAATACTAGTATGTTAAAATCTGCAATGGGTGATTAATT